CTCGGTGTACGAACATGGAGGTTCTTCCGCAGCTCCGCTTCTTCCAGCAGATCGGACAGGTACGTCATGTGGATGGTTCGATCTTCTCCTCGAGTCTTTGCGAATGGTATTTTTTATTCGAGTTTAGCATTTACCTTGAGGTGCTTCCGGGGCTTACTGTCCCCGTGGCCCAGTCGTCGACCAGGCCTCCTGGTTGCTGGACTGATCAACCAGGCTGTTAGACGCGGCTGCTCGCAGCCTGACGTATGAGTCACAGCCTGGTTGATCAGGTATCCTTTGGAGGTGCTTATCCAGTTCTCTCTTGAACACTGTGAGGGGTCGGCCAGTTATGCCCTTTATGTGTAGTGGAAGCGTGTAGAACAGTCTCGGGCCTCTGATGTTGATAGAGTTCTCTCTCAGAGTACCCGTTGCACCTCTGCTTTTCAATAGGGGTATTCTGCACATCCTGCCATGTCTTCTGGTCTCATGTGATGTTACTTCTGTGTGCAGGTTTGGGACCAGCCCCTCAATTATTTTCCACGTGTAAATTATTATGTATCTCTCCCGTCTGCGCTCAAGGGAGTACAGATTTAGGCTCTTTAGTCGGTCCCAGTAATTTAGATGTTTTACCGAGTGGATTCTAGCAGTAAAGGATCTCTGCACGCTCTCCAGGTCAGCAATTTCTCCAGCTTTGAAAGGGGCAAGGGTTGCCGATCTTGCCCCGGCAAGATTGGCAACATGTCTCTTGTTGGGTCTCTAATTGTGGCTCCATGGTTGTGCCTATGGCACCTCTGCTCTTCACTGGTTCAATCTTGCATTTTCTTCCATATCGTTCACTCCAGTACTGTATGTTGTTATTTTACTGTCTAGATTTGGGACCTGGCCCTCCAGTATTTTCCACGTGTATATTATTTGGTATCTCTCTCGTCTCCTTCCTAGTGAGTACATTTGGAGAGCTTTGAGACGATCCCAATAATTTAGGTGTTTTATCTCGTCTATGCGTGCCGTATATGTTCTCTGTATTCCCTCTATTTCAGCAATCTCTCCTACTCTGAAGGGGATAGTGAGTACTGAGCAGCACTCAAGACGGGACAACACAAGTGACTTGAAGAGTACAACCATTGTGATGGGATCTCTGTATTTGAAAGTTCTCGTAATCCATCCTATCATTTTTCTGGCTGACGCAATATTTGCTTGGTTATGCTCCCTAAACGTTAGATCGTCGGACATCATTATTCCCAAATCCTTGACATGCTGTTTTCCTACAATGGGCAGATTCGATTGTGTTTTGTACCCTGTATTATGTTTCAGATCCTCATTTTTGCCGTACCTGAGTACAGTACCTGAAATTTATCACTGTTAAACATCATGTTATTTTCTGCTGCCCAATCAAAATCTTTGTTGATATCTGCTTGTAAGTTTTCAATGTCTTCAGCAGAGGTAATTTTCATGCTGATTTTTGTGTCATCTGCAAAGGATAACACGAAGCTGTGACTTGTATTTTTGTCTATATCTGATATGAGAATAAGGAACAGTAGCGGTGCAAGGACTGTACCTTGAGGTACAGAGCTTTTAACTGCGCTTGGAGTTGTCCTGGAGTGTGTAGCTCATTACTTTGCAAAAAACTAGAAATTTGATTCCTAATCACTCTTTCAAACACTTTTATTATGTGTGATGTTAGTGCAACTGGTCTATAATTTTTTGCCAAGGCTTTACTACCCCTTTGTGCAGAGGAGCTATATCTACAGATTTAAGTGCAGTGGTATCTCCCCTGTATCCAGGCTCTTTCTCCATATTATGCCGAGTGCTCGCGCTATTGGTACTTTACATTTCTTTATGAATATTGAATTCCATGAGTCAGGCCCAGGAGCTGAGTGCATGGGCATATTGTAAATTTCTCTTTCAAAGTCTTCTGAGTTCATGTTAATATCCGTTATATTATCTGCAGCTTGAATGTCATTCATAAAAAAGCTGTCTGGGTCATCAACTTTCATGTTTATTGGTGTGCTAAACATAGTCTCATACTGGCTTCTTAGAATTTCACTAATCTCTTTGTTGTCCTCTGTGTACGTATCTTCATTTGTAATTAACGGTCCAATACTGGTCGAGGTTTTTTATTTTGATTTTGCGTATGTGAAAAAATATTTTGGATTTTTCTTTATGTCTTGTACATGTATAGCTTTCTGTTCCATTTCCTCAGACTCATGATCGCTTCAACGTTTGTTCTATTTTTTTCGATCTCCCTGCTTAGGTTTATTTTTCTTTCTTGTGATAGTTATATCTGCCAAAGCATTTCCGTTATTTTTTTTCTTCTCCTGTACAGTCGTCTGCGTTCTCTTTCCAGAATGCTCCTCTTTCTGACCCTTTTCAGAGGCACGTGCTTCAAGCAGACCTTGTATGCTTCAGCTGTCAGTTGAGCTATTCCCTGTGTGGCAGTTTTGTCGCTTAAGACTGTCTCCCATTGAATAGTTGCAATGTCTACATTTATTTTTTCCCAGTCGATCCTCTTATTGTTGAAATTGAATTGATTGAATACTCCTTCTCACTTGTTGGGTCTCTTAGACCTACTACCGTTATTTATGCTGGTTCGCACTTCAATGAGCTTATGGTCTGAGTATATCGTATCTGAGATTGTAATATCTCTGATTAGTTCATCATTGTTTGTAAATAACAAGTTTAGTGTGTTTTCATTCCTAGTTGGGTCTGTAATCTGTTGATTGCGTGAGAATTTGTCACAGAATCTCAAAAGTTCTCTGACCTGTGGTTGGTTATTTCTCTGGTCATTCCCTGCTATGATATTTGTATTTACCATTCTCCATCTTAGACTTGGTAAATTGAAATCTCCAAGGAAGATAATATCTGGAGCTGGGTTGGCTAGGTTATCAAGGATGTTCTCTATTTTGTGCATCTGCTCTGTGAATTCCTCAACCGTTGTATCTGGCAGTTCATATATTAAAATAATAAATAGATTTAGTTTTTCTACCTTAATTCCAAGTATCTCTACCACCTCATTGGTTGAGTTTAGTAGCTCTGTGCATATCAGGTCTTCTTTAATATACAGACCTACTCCTCCATTTGACTTAGTTTCTCTATTACATCTATATAAATTATAATTTGGAATCCAGATTTCACCATCCATGTAATCTTTTGTATGAGTTTCCATGAATGCCCCAAATATTGAGTTTGACTCTAATAGGAGGCCATTTATGAACTTATCTTTGTTTCTTGACTTTGGCTTTAAACCTTGAATGTTTGCAAATATGAATGATTATCCATATTGTGTGTCACTTCCGGTTCTTCTTACGTTTTCGTTGTTGTACAGTACTTCACTTTCTGTTAGGGTGGTGGTGTCCTTTCACTCTTGGTTGTTCTAGGACTGTCTCCTTATGCCTAACACTGTCACCTCATATCGTGCGGTGCTGGCGGAGCTGCTTCAGCTTGCTTTTGGTATCGATGTCACGTATGCTCTGTTTCGCAAGGCTGTCTCGAGCGTTGTTTCACCTCTGGCCTGCTCATGCGCCGCCTGAGCAGTCCTGGTCATTGGAAAGTGTTCTCTTTTCGTTCTTCTTCTCGTTTTGTTTTCCTCTTCGGTTCCGGATTGTTTTTCAAAGGCTCTTTTTTCTGTTGGCATTGGCCTCTGGGGGTCAGGTAGGTAAGCTTCATGCTCTTCTCCGGCGTAGAGGTTTCTGTTCCTTCGGTCGGGGTGATCGTTTTGTTCGTCTGCAGCCTTCTCCTCCTTTTCTGGCGAAGAATAAGACTGCTGCTTTCCGGAGGGGTCCCTGGGTTGTTGATGCTTGATTGGTTAGGCCGGGGGATGCATCATGTTTTGTGTCCGGTTGTGGCTCTCCGCCATTATTGGCGCGCCTCGGCTTCTGTGTCCGTGAACGCGCTTTGGGTTGATCCAGTTTCTCTTCTTCCCTGTTCGAGGGTGCGGGTCTCCCAGGTCGTCCACAGGGTTATTAAGGCTAGCTAGCCTGTGGTGTATCCTCATGCCCATGACATCCGCAAGTTCGCGGCTCTTGCTGCCGTCTTTGGCAATATGTCCTGGGCTGACATTCGGGTGCGAGGATTTTGGTGGTCGAACAGGGTCCTGGCTGCTCCGTACCCTGTAAACGTTCCTGGGCCCAGTTGGGCCTGTGTCGCTTTGGGTCGGCAGATGCAGCCAGTTGTCTCTACTTCGGGTTGAGGAGTTAGCAGCAACTGCCTCCCGGGTAAGTCCCTATTCTTCTCCCTCTGTGGGTAGTTAGCTCCAGGGAGTCATAGGGGCTCCCCCCAGAAAACCAGTGTTGAATGTATTGAAATGCCATTTTCTGGGTGAGTCCCGGAGGCTCCCCAGCATCCCTCCCTCCCTTCGGTCGGCGTTTTTTTCGCGTGTTTTGACATCCAGCCTCAGAACTAGGGTGTGGATCGCTGGCGCGGTAGGTCTGGGGCTACCCTTTCCTCCTCCCGGGGAGGGAGGAGCTGCTCAAACAGCAGTGCGATGACGGGTGACGTCATACTAGTTTGCTCGTTTTTGTTTGGGGAGTTCTATCCACTCGGTCGGCTTTTGGTTGTAATTTTCACCAGAATAGGGGTTTGTTTTAGGACGCTTACCTTTCTGGGTGCCTAACCTGATCGATAGCGGACATAGAATGCTTCCAATTACACAGGGATTTATTTCTATAGGCCATTGCTCCCCTTGCCTCTCTAGAGGGGGCCAGGTTCTTGGCTCGTGGTCCCCGGTAGGCACATAAGAACTCCATACACATGACTGATGCTAATGCTAATGATGCTAATGTCTGACATTAACACATCAGCCTCGTAAGCTCCGGGAAGCCATAGGGACTCACCCAGAAAATGGCGTTTCATTACATTCAACGCTGGGTTTTTTCTAAAAAAAATAATATACTGTTCTGTATAAATTACTGATCATAAATATGAAATTATATGAATATTCTTGTTAACTCTCATATTTAATTACATTTATTATGGTTAAACCAACCATTTCATATCAAGATGCATCACAAAGTAATTTTATGTACCTCCACGAGTCATAAAGTTGTCAGGCATGTATTGTGTCAGGTATGAAACGTGTTGATTAGCTTGAGCCACCTCAAGACGCCGCAGTTCCATGTCAATTGCTTTGCTATGAGCCTTGGTCTCTGTGAACATTTTCTAGAAAAAAAATACACAAATATAAACTTCAAAGTTAAACTAATAAACTATTTTCTTTCCTAATTATTATTTTATAACATTTAATTTTATTAATATGTGCCATAAAGAGTATACTCAGTAAAACTGTCTAGATGCAATATTACACAAGCCTGAATCACATCTTCATTAAAGAAATTGCTTGAGTATAATCATATACCTCCTACTATGTAATGATACATCAACAATGAAAACTTCAGTCTCTCACAAAATAATAATTTAATAATAATCAAATTCAAAATTACCTTAAAGTCAATAATCTCTGATGGTGTACCAATGGGCTTGTTTGTCTCTTTCTCTAACGAATGTCGCAGGTCTAAGTTCTGCTCCTGTTGCTTCTGCACAAGCTCACGGAACTTTCTAATAGTTGTATCCTGGTCAACAATGACTTCATTGGCAGCTTCACGCTCTCTCATAACCTATACAAAAATATATTTATATAGCAAATCAAAATATGAATAAATGAAGTATTTATTGTTATGATTATAGGTAGCCTAGCCTAGGCTACCTCTTGTATGAGAGTTGTTCCCGTCCGGCAGACATCATTTTGGCATTTATTCATTCGTGCCCATGAGTTTTAGTGAGGAAATAAGTACAGTAGCTTAAATAAGAATGTGTTTTGTGACATTATGGTGGTAAACATGTGGTGAGGAAGACTCATGAAGGCGAGGGTTATTACCCGTAAAGATGGTGGAAATCCCAGAGATTCTAGGTGCTAAAGGCTTCAGTTGCTATGGTAACAGAGATGGTGCTGCTTGTGAGAGCCAATCAGCATGATGCAAGATGACGATGTCCCTCAAGGAAAGTGTGGAGATTGGCCAAGACAGTTCATTTTATGCCTGAGAGTCAAAGACGTCTAACATCTGTCACAATTATAGACCTGTATCATTGACAAGTGTAATAGTGAAAGTATTGGTAAAACTAATCAAAACTAAATGGGTAGAACACCTGGAGATAAATGATATAATATCAGACAAACAGTATGGTTTTTGCTCTGGAAGATCTTGTGTATTTGAATTTACTCAGTTTCTATGATCGAGTAACAGAGATTTTACAGGAAAGAGATGGTTGGGTTGACTGGTACTTACAGGGCATTCAGGGAATGACCCTAAGCACATGCAGTCCGAGTACCTGAGAATAATACTCCCAGCTCGCACGACCACTGGGAAAGCAGCACTGAAAACAATGACAGCACTGAAGAAGACCAGAGCTGGAGCCACACGACTGTGTACGATCCCATCTGCCATGGAACTGTGGTGTGGATTGCCGGTGTGAGGGTCTGGGGCTCCCCTTTTCCCCTCTCGGGGACGGGGGAAGCTGCGCAAAACATGCGGCGCAGCTTGTGTGACGTCATGCTTGTTTGCTTGTTTTTCTTTTGGGGAGTTCTGTCCACTCATTGGCGATTTTTGTTGTTTTAACCAGAATAGGGGTTTGTTTTGTGGCGTTTATCTTTCTGCGTGCCTGTCCCAGTCGATGGCAGATATAGAATGCTCCAAATCACATGTGCATTTCTATGGGCCATGGCTCCTTGTGCCTCTGTGAGGGGGCCAGGTTCTGGCTCATGTTCCCCGGTAGGCCTAGAACTCCACCCACATTGACTGATGCAAAATAGTTAGGGGTATTCATATCAGCCTCGATAGCTCTGGGGAGCCGTAAGGCCCCCCCCTTCCCCAGAAAATGACCCAAGTCCCATTGTTTCCAGTCCAAGTATCCTCCTCAAGTGCACTGTCATTAAGAAAAGCATCAGCTTAGAGGCAACTGATAGTTCCACAGTGAGGCAAAGGAATCATCCTGAGGGTAATAGACGATCTTGCAAATCCAAAGAATGAGTTCCAGTCCACCTCTCATTCTGTCAGTATTGGATGGAATTGAGAGACGTCATCCCACTAGAACAGGGGTGAGGAACCT